GACTCGGACTCGAACGCAGACGACTCAGACTCATCAAACATAGGACCTTCGCCAGCGGTTATTTCCAACTTCTCTCCACTTGGCGTAGTGATCCCCAATGTCTTGCGCCATCCCCTTGAAATATTGTCAGCTTAGTCGATTAACTCGGAGGGGTCAAATCCTTGTTTGCTATGACAGCTTGAACGACCTCGGAGTTATCACTACAGACGGGCTTAGACTCATTCTTTTCCATTCCAAAAAGCAGGTTGATGCCTAGATCATCAGGACTCGGGCTAGCTGGCTTATCGGTTGTGAAGAGCTCTTCGTCTTCATCAACAAAGTCACAATCGAGGAATATCTCGAATCCTGGTTCACGCTTCCCATCGTAGACGAATGGCTCAGGGAATTCATAGCATGGGAAGTCTTCCCCTTCTTTGATGTACTGGCCATTGAGGGTGAACGGATATGGATCCATTGCCATTTTCGTCTTCGTGATTCGAGCATTATTGCGAGCCTTCATCTTCAATAGAGCTTGTTTCACATCTTCTTTTGTTGGCTTGAATCCCAAGCCAAAAGTATCCTTCTTGAGTGCACCAAGATGGCTCCAAGATTCAACCATTTTCTCTTTTAGTCCAAGGGTCATTCCAGGGAAATGACCTTACTTCTTCAGAATGGCATTGATATTGGTGTTTAAATAGGGATCGAAGTCGAGATGACACTTTTCCTCTTCTTCAATCACGATAACATCGTCATGTGAAAAACCCCAAAGATCTTCGTCTTCTTCGTCGTGCTCGACATGGACGATAGGAGTGTCGATAACTTGAATGCGCATAGGAGAGGCATCAATGGTAATTGGAACCCCTCCAACTATGGCTTTCACTTTTTGGTGCAGCGACGATGGAATCGCCTTTAGCTCATGAAGCCAAGGGCGTCCTAACAACAGATTGAAATAGGCCTTAATGTCCACCACCTGAAATTTGGTGCGACGTTCAATGGCCCCAATAGCTATGTTCAGTATGATAGTACCCACGGCTTGACGGCGAGTATTATCATAAACGCGAATCCCTTGAGTGGAGGGAGTCAGTTCTTCATTCTTTATGCCCAACTTTTTTGCAGTACGGAGTGGGCACACATTGATTGTAGAGCCATTATCAACCAGGCTCATAGGAACATTCATCTGCCTACACACCACAGTGAGGTGTAAGGCCTTATCATGTTGGTCCCCTTCCGAGGGCAGATCCTTGTCAGAAAACGAAATCCGATTGCTAGTACTTGGCAATTCGGTAGTGAGAAAGTTAACCAGAGGAGTCATGTCATCATCAACTCCTATTTTCACCAAAGCATTCATCACAGCCTTTCGATGCTCGTGGGAGGTGGCCAAGAGCTTCCATACATTCATCTTCACCTTGGTCTTTTTGCAATTGTTTGACCACATCGCTGTTCACAGGGTCGATGGGATCAACTATTAGATGTGATTGTGGTGGAGGTGGAGGTGGATTAGGTTGTTGCAACTGTCCACTTCTGGTGAGAACCTTAAACTCAAAGTCCCCCTAAATATCTTCACTCGTGCCAAGAGATGAACAGGCTATATCCTTGAGATAGACGTCTTCATCGTTACTATCCCAAATTCCATTCACTTTTTCAGAACTCGAGACAAACATAACTTCCGGCAGAGGTTCATTCACAGGTTGAATGAGTATTGATGGATCAAAGAAGACTTCATCTCCCATAATAGCCAAAGCATTAAAAAGAGGACTTGTTTGAATGTTAGGCTTCTTGCCCCCTGGAAGGACAAGAAGTTGATTAGCATCAATTAGATCTTGGATTGCATCCTTCAACCTCCAAAACTTCTCAGTATTATGACCCTTGCCTTGATGAAACTTGCAATAAGCATTGGGGTCATAGCTAGCGGTCCTATTCTCTAGTCGAGGTTCTGGAAATGGTCCAATTGGCATAATCAGTCCTAGACCATGCAAACTCATAAGCAGCGTCATAAGTCATTCTCAAAGGTGTGTAAACCCTCCTTTGCCTTTGGAATCTTGATATTGATATTGTTGGTAGCATTATTGGGCTTAGAAGACGAAGAAGAAGAAGTGTCGTTCTTCTTGTTTTTCCAAGTGTTGTTATTATTGTTGCTACCAGCAGTCTTCATTAGTTCGTCCTCGATATTGATTCCAATATCGTATACAGCTTCAAAGGTACTCAGAGGCAGAAACTTCAAGTGTTGCTTGTACTTATGAGTCAGATTGGCGATGAACAAGCGAACCATCTCCTTTTCCTTGGGGGGGATCCACCAAGAGAGCAGTTGTTTCCCTCCACGTGCTTAAGTAAGTGGTGAAGCCTTCATTCTCTTTCTGTTTAGAATGGAGAGTTCACGTTCAGAAGTCTTGGCCTGAATGTTACACTTGTAACGATTCATAAAACTTTCAGCAACATCCTCCCAGGTCACAACATGTTTGGATTCCAAAGAATAGAACCACTGTTGACAGGCATGCTCCAAGGAAAGAGGGAACACCGTAGGGAAGAGTGTCACATCTACTCCCTTATGAGCCATAGTTGCATAAAAAGCCTTCAAATGGAAAAGCGGATTATCAGTAGGCTTGAATTTGGGAATGTCAGCATTGGAAAACTTCTCAGGAAGCTTGTCCCTTATGGACGAAGAGGTGACAGGTTGTTCCACGTAAGTGAATTCTTCAGAAATCTTGCTCATCTGTTCCTTAATCTTGTCCATTGCAGCGGTAGTGACATTGTTTTGACTATCTTGTTCTACCGTGATGACTCTAGTGGTGAGTGTCTGCATCATGTTAGACAACTTTTCAATTGTCTTGTTCAGGTTCTCGATGTCTTCCTTAGTAGCCATTGGTTGAAAGTAGACTGGAAATGGATCTTGTGGAGATGATTGAGGTGGTTTCCTTGTACGCCTCTTTGGTGTATAAGAGGTTGTTGAGGTATTGACTCGAACCGTAACAATCTACCCCTGCTTCTTGACCAAGTGCTGTGACACCGAAACAAACACACCTTTAATGACCAAACTTAACCTTAGGAAAAAGAATTTTTTTTTTTATCTTTAAAAAAAATCTATAATTTTGTAATTCTACTTGTTTATTTTTTTATTATTTTTAAAAAAAATATGGGAGGATATCATCCGACTTACTACGAAAAAAGAAACGACACAAAAACAAGACTATCCTAAAATACGGTTAAAAAGTAGTGCATGAAAAAAGTGTGTGAACACGATATGTGAGTGATTAGGTGAGGTTATGGACGCGTGTTTTGACCGTACAGCTAGACATGACACTAAACTAGACACAGCATCCACATACGTACGCACAAAAACCGAAAAAAGACTGACAAGACACTTTTCCTGGGCACCGTGTCACGGTGCTGACTGTCGTGACACGGTGCAATCTACCGTCAGACGGTAGAAAGGCCAGTGTCACGGCACTGTTCACCGTGGCACGGCAGAACATGCCGTGACACGGTGCGCAGTTCCAGGTCAATTTTGTGATTTTTCCAGATTTAAATCGATTTTAGGTCCGTACTAATTACTATGTGAGAATAAAAACCCTCGGTCATGGGTTAAACAAAAGGGTAAACACATGAAGGTTAGCACCAAACAATCACGTAGCATTTAGGCACGATGATGTAAAAAAAGTTCGCAACCTAGAGTCAAGATCTATGTTCAACTATTGGTCAAGCTTTGGGTGTCAAAAAAGTACCATGGTTAAGAGTTTGGACGCGTTAGCAAGGCAGCCTCCCTTGAGGGTGTATGCCAACGGACGGCTCCGCGAGTTCGTGATGAAATCGAACTCGACTCCATGGTTTGGGTGAATTTAATAACTCGGATGAGCCATGAGCGTTTTCGGGTTGATAGAGCTTAAATCCCCCGGGGTTAAGACGCATGTAGAACATATACGTTTTTTCAGAAAAATCGAAGGAAATTGACTGTGAGAAGAGGAAATAAGCCACCGGACTGATTTTAGGACTGTCGTGACACGGCAAAAATTCCCATGCCACGGTACTGTGCACCGTTAGACGGTGCACTGTACCGTGACATGGCAAATTTTGCCGTGGCACGGCTGTCAGAAGATCTAACTTGTGCCCTGTTTTCCTTCGTGCGCAACCAAGTTATTCAATTTTTCCTACGGGACAGACCTGAACGCGACGTTAAATCGTCTATGCAGATGCAAAAATGCCAAATTAATCACAGTAATATTTTTTCAAGAATCTTTCAAGTCTCATCCACTCATCTTAATTAAATATCGATCACTCAAATCGATAAATAATCAAGAATCCTCCCCAGTGGAGTCGCCAAATTATAGGCGTCGTTTGAAGTACGCCTACGTTAAAAGCATGTGTAAATATGTTTGGCACTCATAGGAAGTGGGAATTGACATACGATTAGGGACGAGGAAAGTAGGGAGCCGCCAACAAGTTCCTAAAAAAGAGTTCCGTCTATAGGGCTTTTAAGGAACTTGTAAACCGTTCACGGATCATAAAAGACAACCACGAATAAGGGACAATGAAGGCAACAATGATTGACCCGTGAAGGTTACAACTCATTCATAATCCATGAGATTACTAACTCCATATGGTTCGGAACCACGAAAGGAGGATCGGGGATGATGGTACGAAGTGAGTCATGGAGTCACATTCGCCCGTATTTGCCTCTACTCGATTCTTATAGTAAAAAGTAATTCCTGCGATCTCAAAGGCATGCAAACAAAGATTCAATTCGCTCCAAACTATTATTAAGCTAAATTGGTTGAATATTAATGCAACACATAATTCTAAAATATCGTGATAACTTAAATTAACAACAAGATTAAAAAGGAACCTAAACCGGTTGTCCAAATTATCTTATTAGGCGTGATTTTCAATTACATATTCCCTTTAAACATGAAATATGGTGATCAATAAATATAATAGAACAAACATTAATATTGGAAGCAATTTAACCATAATTCCAACAATATAAATTCGTTAGAAAAATAATAGAAAAAAAGGAACATAATTCTTACTTTGATTCTGTTTGTTTGCAACTACAAAATAATAAACGAGTTAGTAACTTCAAGGAAATAATAATAAAACAACAATTAAATTAAATTAAATAAAGTAGAGTTGATTTGGGGCCAAACCCTCAAACAGTTCTACCTTTCACGCCTTGGCTTAAGGACAGAACCACGAGTAAAGTATGGACTCATTTGAGCACGTGAAGAAGAATTTTTTTGAAATGAGAAGGGTAGGCTAGTGTTTAGGCTAGAGCATAGAAGAGAGAAAAATAAACTAGAGAGTTAATTGATGCCCCGTACATCAGAAATGAGGGAGTATTTATAGGGAAAATGTGCTGAGGGAGCACACGGAACCCTAAAATGATAAAAACCCTAAAAAAGTATCTCGCGACACGGCAAACTGTACCGTGACACGGGAAGTTCCACCGTCAGACGGGAAACATTCCCGTGACACGGTGCATTTTTGGTGTGAAGCGGAAAATTTTCAGAAAACGGGGAAGAAAACGCGTTAAGGGTTTACGCGGAAAAGACACGAAATTTCCTGTGTCACGGCAAGTTTCCCGTGTCACGGGAAATCCCACCGTCAGAAGGGACTGATTCCCATTACACGGTGGGTACCTGCCGTGGCGCGGGAATTCCAAGCCCACTTTTCCATCTAAATACATTTTTAACCCTAATTTCATTCGGCATTTTAAGTGCCGATTGATAATTTCGAGCCTTTTCTGACTTATTATTATTTGGGCTAAAATAAGAAAATAATTAAATAAAATAAATAAAAAGTTTGGGCCAAAAATAAATAATAAAACAATAAAATAAAAAAGGTTTGGGCTGAAATTAAAACTATGCTTTTACCAAACATCAAGACTAATCCATGGACTGTTCAAAAATATGAATTTAATCAAATACGATTTTTTAAGCACTCTCGGGATTAAATACTGAACCCGACCAATAGTGGCAGTGAAAGGTTGTTCATCATCGGGTTTGGTTTTGGGGAGACATTTTTAGGTGTCTACAAGCTTGAACTAATCTCTACACTTGACAACACAATTTCTTTGCCTCTGCAAATGAGCAGGTGTAGGAGTTCAAGTATGCACTTTAACGAAACAAACTAATGCTTATTTGGTAGAAAAAAGTATTCTGTATAGTGATCAAATAGTGATAAATTAACACATATTATATTAAGAGCATACATATGAAGGCATATAGTTAAAACTTAACCCCTTATATATCAGTAGCATACAGAGAGCAAATAGATACTATAGCTAATGAGAATTTTACATGTATGAGGCAGTGAGGCACTCACCATTTTTAATCTTACATAGTGTAGAAACAGAACATCCAATTCATTATACATTAGTTTCTCATAATACTAGTATCCAATTTAGATAATAATTTAAGAGATTGTGACTTTTATACTAATAGATAATGATGTAAAGCAAAGACAAAGAAGGAAGAAGAGCTTGCTCACAGAAATGTGCAAGTTTGCTAGTGTCTACAGATTGGAGACGCATCAAGTCAGATGTTTACAATAATCATAACTAGCAAGCGTAAGTTAACAAAATGGCTATATATTAACCTGTATTATTACTCCATTAGCACAACTAATGCAATCTAATAATTCAACACCAATGACGATAGCTTTATTGATTCCATGACCAAATGGCCCACCTATGAAAAATATCATTTTGGCTTAAAATTCTTCACATTTTCAGTCACATGCACTAAATCATATATGAAAATTACAACTAGAAGTCACAAGAACTAATAGGAAATCAATTTTCCATTAAATTTTAAACATAAAAAGGAAATTCAAATATAAAACTCAAACATATCAAAATCCACTTCAATATTACTACTGGATAATGAATACTCATCATAAGAGTTAACAAATATCAACAAGTGGTTTTAAATGATCAAATTGAAGTTGATAAAGCATATCCTTTTCACAATAAAGCTGAATGAATTGAAGAAAAAATTGAGTATGCAATTGTTTGCTGTTACAGAAATAGTGAGTAAAATAATGGAGAGTACGTATAAGACCTGGATAGTTCCAGAATCATGTTGCAGTGTAAAAAAGGTGACCTTTCCAAAAGCAGTCATCGATGTTTCATCTCTAAACAGGAATAGGAACATGATTATTAGTCTAGCTTAAGTTCATAATTATCTCAAAATATTAACAAAACATGAGCATTTTCCAATGTATACATGCTACTATGCTAGTAACTTGCATTGTAAATAACTATAGCATTTTATTAAGCCCGAGATTACTAAAATCAGAAGCTTGTTTATGTTCGTCATTTTTTTTTTCCTTAATTGTCAAATTTCTCACAGAAAGTATAAAAATTAATTCAACCACTCAATATATCACAATCAAAGATTTTTCCCAGAACTAAAAAAGCCATACCGAATCTTCCAGCCCTGCAAATTATACAACATGACATCGATTTAGAAATTACAAAAATCAATTTCTCTCTTGCTTTTGAAACTATCGCCACCCAGATCCTCAAAAGGGGATATTCTTTGATTCCAGATTACTCTGAAACCCGAGTTTGCAACTTTTTAGTAATAAAACTTCAATTAAATTCATCAACAAACAAAAGAACTAACCCTAGAAATCTTTTTAGTTCTTTTATTTTATCAAATAATCGCGTATAATTAATCAAAAATTCATAAATCAGGAAGAGATCTAGAGCATACCTTACGATATTCTTGATGAATTAGCGAGTTTTAGAGCAGTTTCAGAGGAAAGTGAGAAGTTGATTGCGAGTTTATGTGAAAAAATGCGTAAAAGGAATAAGGGTGAAGGTAAGAGGAAGCGCATACTACTATTGTACTAATTTCCAAAGAAAATATAAATAAATAAATGAATGAAATTAGTAACCGACCTAAATAAAGTCCATTACAACTAATATGGTCAATAATGTTTGACTTATTAATTGTAACTGACCTTCTTTATTTTCATTACTAATAGTTGGTCAGCCTATCATTAACCTACTACTTGTAACTGACCTTTGTTATGTCAGTTACTAAAACTATTTTAATTGTAACCAGCACTATATATGTCAGTTATTAATACTCTTATTATAACTGACGTAAATTACGCCAGTTACAAATGAGGGGTTACAAATAACAATTTTTCTACTAGTGTATATAGATTGTGAATTGAGTTGCTAGATCTATTGAAGTTTATTTTATTATGTAATTTTAGGCTCAATTTATGATTTAGACGTTTATTGTTGAGTATTTTTAACTTTGACTGATAATGATCTTACATTCAGTACTTTAAAGATGCTCAAATGCTTGATTTTTTTTGGGAAGAGTATTTCCATGATTCGCTTCAGGCTAACCAGAACCTACACTAGCTGATCTCTAATAGGTTAAAGGAGTATTTAAGATGGGGAGTTAATTTGTAGTGTGTTTATATAATATGGTATATATATGAGTATATGACATATCTTAAGTAGTTATGTCACATTCCTTAATTTCGAAATTAAAGTTTCATATTCTAGATGATTTACTCACCTAACCATTTATTGTATTCCATATATGTCGTTTTAGAGTAACTATGTTCATGGCGCTATGTGTCTATGGGTAGGGTGTGGGTTGAGTTTTGGTGTAACTTGGGTATATACATTAGCATTTATCAATGTTTATACTTTGTCTGTTTGAGGGGTTGTTTTTGTTCTTTAGTATTGAAAATATATATTCAAATTATGATTAGAGACTGATCCATTGATGTTGTTTATGTTTATTAGGAAAAGTGGTCCGACAAGACACTCATCGAAGGAAGGGTGGACAGAGAAAGAGGTGAGTGGTAGCTCTTTAGATCCTCTATATTTTGAAATCATGCCTTAACTTAACACTAGTTTAGTGTTTCATCAGATGTATATGTGTATTGGTTTATTGGTGTAGTGTATGATGACTAGATTAAAACCAATGTTTTTACTTTTATAATGTTTTGCTGATCTTGAAAACAGGACAATCTTCTCGTTGCTGTTGTAAAGAAATACAATGCGAAGAATTGGGTAAACAATAGCTGAGTGAAAACCTTTATACATAGTAGTTTCATTTGTTCTTTAAGTACTCAGTATTGTTTAAAGATTTAACCTTGACTATTGTAAGAAACTTGGTCTATTTATTGAATTTACCATTTTGCTTTGCTAAAATATGATAGGCCTTGATGGCATTACAATCAGTTTGAATTTAGTTCATAATAAAAAGATTATATGCTTGATCAAGGAAAGTTTGTGAGGTGAATCTTTTACATGGTGAATATATATATACTGTAATTGTATCTAGTAAAGTTCTTGTAGTTGTTTATAATTTGTTTAATAACTTTATCTTTGAATATCCTCCAGCTGAGTCAGGAAAGATGGATGTGCAATGCCTACATCGGTGGCAAAAGTTTTGTTTAATTTTGGTTTTTCTTTATTTCCCTCTCGGCCTCTCATCTTTTGTTCTCATGTAGGTGGCACAACCATCTTGACCCTGTGATAAAGAAAGATGCATTGACAGAGGAGGAAGAATCACTTCTTACTTGCTATCACCAGAGATGCAAGTGGGCAGAAATAACATGATTTCTTCTTGGAAGGTATTTTTATTAGAATTGGCAATCTTAGCATGATGATACAAATTGTTTATTATTTTGGCATAGTCAATTTTCCGGAGTAAATATGTTTTGACTTCTTAGTATTGGAATCATGCATGACTGACAATGCCATTAAAAAATAACTAGAATAGCTCTTAGATATTTGAATGAGTTATCAATACCTCTATTTAAGTTAGTGTGTCCACCAAAATACCAACATAATTGGACTCGCAGTGGTAAAAAACTCTTTGAATTTGAACAACTAATTGGTATACTTTGATCAATCTAGTAAATAGAAGTGGATTATAATATTTGGATGCTTCTTGACAATACATCAATACTATGTTGTGGGTGTATTTATTGCTGTTGTGCTGTTGTAAAATTCAGTGCGTGTATTTCTCTCATAGAAACTTGAACCTCGAGCACTCAAGTTCATTCTTGTCATATTTTGGTGCTTTTTTGTTCAATTTTACTTATGTTTAGAAGAATTTCTAATCAATTGTTCTTTATTGTACTTTTATGTTTAGCAAGAAAACTTATGGCTAATGTAGTTGATTTGAGTCGTTGCTTCTCATTAATGTTGTCACTCCAGGAAGATGTCCCTGCTCTTTTTTTTTTTTCTGGGGGTAGATTGCAGCCTTGAATTTTTATAAATTTGTGTATAATGTATATAGTATAATTAACACAATTTCGTTACAATAGTAACTTTTATAAGTATATGATATACATAGCAGTTCCTGCACAAATTCGGATAAAAAATTGTTTTTTATTTTATTTTATTTTATTTTTAATTTTTAAAAATGACTATTAGCAGCTGGCCAAATTATATGCCAGCTGCAAATAGATACTATTAGCACCTGCCTGAACTATGTCAGCTGCAAATAGGTAGCTGGCCGAACTATATGCCAGCTGCAAATATGTACTATTAGCAACGGACCTAGTTATTGGCCAGTTGCGAATAATCGCTATTAGCAATGAACATGCGCCAGTTGCAAATAATATTCTCATTAGTAGCCCCCGCAATAGCAGCCCCACGTGCCTGTTGCTAAAAGCCACTTTTCGCCAGTTGCTAATAGCGTTTTTTCCACTAGTGTGAACATCCTTCAAAAACCTTTGAACCCCCTACGAAAAACACTGAACCCCAACCACAAACCACTAAACATCCTTCAAAAGCCTCTAAACCCCCCCCCCCCCAAAAAAAAAAAAAAAAAAAAACTTCTGAACCCCAACCATAAACCACTGAACACCCTACAAAAACCTCTGAATACCCTACAAAACTTTTGAACCCCAACTACAAACCACTGAACACACTTCAAAAACTTCTGAACCCTTACAAAAACTTCTGAACCCCAACCAAAAAGCACTAAACACCCTGCAAAAACCTGTAAACTCCCTACAAAAACCTCTGAACCCCAACCACAAACCACTAAACACCCTAGAATAACCTCTAAACCCCCTACAAAAACTTCTAAACACCAACCACAAACCACTAAACACCCTAGAATAACCTCTGAACCCCCTACAAAAACTTTTGAACCCAACCAGAAACCACTGAACACTCTTCAAAAACTTCTACACTTGAAGACACTGCTCAGAATTCCAAATGTTCAGATTTATAAATTATAAAGTAGAGAATTCCAAATTTTTTAATAAAATTAAAAATACATAATCTAAATTAAAAATAAGTTTATAAGTAATGTATCACATGTTCAAAATTATAATAAAGATGTTCGTAATTTCAAAAATACATGTTATGTATTTATAGAAAATGTATCATACGTTTATATTTTTAACTTAAAATGTTTACAATGCCAAAATATAATCAAATACAAAACTGTTCATAACAAAAATACACAATTATCACTAAAAAATCAAAAGAATATGAAAGCTACATATCTCGAAACTCAAACCTAGCCATGGTGATTTAGATAATGAAATCTCATCGGAAAATAATCACACCATTGTCTTAACCACCTGCTATTGACGACGACGGCATTTTTAGCTTCACTATTTCATTGTAAAAACTCTAATAACAAAGCTTCAAATTGAAAGTTGAAGAAAACAAAATTTGAATTTAATCTATTGTAATGAAGGAATTCACTCTATGATGATAAAAAAAAATATGAAGGAATTCAATTAAAATGATGAGGAACGGATTCAAGAGAAAGAAAAATAAAATAGAGAGAAAAATAGAGGTGAGAGAAAATAGAGGAAACAGAAAATAAAAGAGAGAAAAATCGAAAATTAGGAAAGTAGAAGAGAAAAGAGAAGAGAGTGTATATTTTAATTGGTGGTTCACATAGAACTATATGTCTATATGCACCATGGTGCATCTTATAATTTGCCCTCGATCGGGCTAATGTGTCCAGCATCACGTTAGGCTGCTACAACAGTTCGGCTATCTTACTTCTTGGGTTTATGCAATTTTGGGCCGGGTCACTTGGTTTCGTTTGCTGATGATTGTGTCGGTTTAGGAGCTAGTTTTAGTGGGTTTAGGAGTAGTAGTTTGACTTTCTATCAAACTCACTTTCCTATTACTCCATTAGATATAAAAGGAGTAGTAGATTTAGTTCTAGGAGGTAGTTGTCACTTGTCAGACTTTTGGTAGGAATCTTAGGATTTGTTTTATGCTTAGTTACTTTTGTTAGGATTTTATTTCACAATTTTATTTTTATTTAGTTTGAGTCTTGGTGGGATTAAACTTACTTTCCTTATATAAGGGAGGTAGTAGTAGGTAGGAGCATTAGGTAGTTATTAGCTTAGTTTTAGTTTTTTAGTTTCTTTTAGTTTAGTTTTCTTTTCTTCTCTATTTTTCACATCAAGATTTATTATTTTGTTTTCTTATTACTTTAATACTATTATTCTCTTTCTCTTAATTCTTGCTCTTTATCATGCTTTCTTTAATTACTTTGATTAGTTTAGTTTTATGATGTGTGATTAGTTTTCTTTTTAGGGTTTATGGGATCCATAAATAATATGAAGGGGTAATTAATTGTTGATTGTCAGTGCTTGATTAATTTCCTATTGATTGATTTAATGCTATGCAACTAGATTTGAGCAGATCTTTTATGTATGAGTTTAGCAATATTGATTTGAGAGATGAGAATTGATGTTTTGGCTTAGTTTCAATAGGCAGGTTAATTTATAAATGGTTAAGTCGAGATTCGACAGATGAGATTTAATACCGGTAGATTAATTCTGTGATTGTAATACGCAGCGAAAGCCCTTTATGATTGATGCATTGATGATTGATTGTTATGTTTTACCCTGG